AAATGCAACTGTCTAAAACACACTCCATTCATATGTTGAGCCTATGAATATTTGAAAGTGTGTTGAAGTATTATGCGACCTCATTTCACTTCAGCCCTTAAAACAAAATCCCTTGGGCAGCAATTGATTTTTAAAACAGAGCCAGGCTGGTCTGAGGCCCAACACATCGTGCCCATCTTCAGGGGACCGCTGCTGATAAAAAGAGGAAGGGAAAAAATAATCAACAAATACATTATAACAATTCCTACATAAAATTTAAACCAGAAGAGAACTAAAGTAAGGGTTAGACCCCTCTAACATTGATGAGTTGTTCTTCAAGCTGTATTGAATTTGGGAGCTAAAAGGCAAACAGAAGCTCAATTTTGTTAGTTTTGCAGAGATGCTCCTTCATTTAGTGTTTTGAACATCAGGCAATAATTTACTTACCATGACCTATTATACTCACTGTATAGATTTAAAAAAAAATACAAAACCAGCTGTATGCCAAGTTGGTCATCTCCCTTGTAACACATGCTGCTCAACCATAGGTCTTTGGGTTTATGAGATCAGTTTGCTTCTTCTAGGATCGTTCACTGGCATCAACTGCAAAAGAGCTCATCTTCCATCTATAAGATTATTTTTAATGAATCCATCAACCACTTTGTGCAGAAATATATCTACTGGTATAATCAGTCAACATGAACAGATGAGAAGTTGATAAAGGATGCAATGTTATACAAAACCACAATAATATTTTGACATTACATTACTGCTTAACTAATATGAATATAAAACTCCCTTTTAAAACAGTAATGTCTTTGAGAAATCACAAGAATAAAGAGCCTTTAAAAACATTTTATGAAGCACTGTATTTCATGCTACATAGAATATTCTATAGACACCTAGAAGGAAAAAACGTTATTTGAAGTAACAAAGTAGGATAAATATTTTTTATCAGATAAACTAACCAGTTTTTATACAAAGATTTTAGAGTTCTTAAGAAAAAATAAACATTTACTTTCCTGAAAATATCAACTTTCACTTCAGTTCTACATTTATAAATCAAACACGGAAAGAACTATTTCATATTAGTATGATAATTATCAAAGAAAAAACATAGGAAAAAGCCCTGTGCAGTATTGGCTAGGATTATCAGTTTGAATCCCTGGTGTGCATACTCTGTAATTATAGTTTTTTTTACAAAAAAATAAATTAAAAAAAAATATTTTTTAAATAAAAAATATAAAGTTAATATCTGTAGAGTAGGTGATGAATGTTACTTTGCTGACTCACTCCAGAGGTACACACAAGTCCCAATGCAGGGAGTGCCCATGATTGAAGACAGCTGTGATGGAGCTGAGGAGAAGAGACCAAAAACCCTTTTAGAGGCATCTCTTCGAACAACCTGCTGCCACAGGACAACTGGGCAACCAGGCCCAGTCAGCATGGGTTTATAAAAGGTAGGTCCTGCTTGACTAACCTCATCTCCTGTGAAAACATGACCTGCTTAGTGGATGAGGGATAGGCTGTGGATATTGTCTACCTAGACTTTAGTAAAGCCTTTGACGTCATTTCCTACACCATTCTCCTGGAGCAACTGGCTGCTTATGGCTTGGACAGGTCCACGCTTTGCTGGGTAAAAAACTGTCTGGATGGCCAGGCCCAAAGAGTTGTGGTGGATGGAGTTCAATCCAGATGGCAGCAGGTCACAAGTGGTGTTCATCAGCGTTCAGTTCTGGGGCCAGTTCTGTTTAGTATCTTTACCAACAACCTGGACAAAGGCATTGAGTCCACCCTCAGTAAGTTTGCAGACAACACCAAGTTGGGTGGAGTGTTCATCTGCTTAAGGGTAGGAAGGCTCTAGAGAGATCTGGATGGGCTGGATCGATGGGCCAAGGCCAGCTGTATGAGGTTGAACAAGGCTAAGTGCCAGGTCCTGCACTTGGGTCACAACAATCCATGCAAACGTGGCTGGAAAGCTGCCCAGCAGAAAAAGGACTTGGGAGTATTGCTCAACAGCTGGCTGAATATGAGCCAGCAGTGTGCCCAGGTGGCCAAGAAGGCCAGTAGAATCTCGGCTTGTATCAGAAATAGTGTGGCCAGCAGGACTAGGGAAGTGACTGTCCTGAGGCACCTGAAATGCTGTGTTTGGTTTTGGACCCCCACTACAAGACGGACATTGAGAGGCTGGAGCGTGTCCAAAGAAAGACAGTGAACCTGGTGAAGGGTCTAGAGCACAAGTGTTATAAGGAGCAGCTGAGGGAAATGTGGTTGTTCAGCCTGGAGAAAAGGAGGCTGAGGGGAGACCTTGTCGCTCTTTATGACCACCCAAAAGGAGATTGTAGCGCGTTGGGTGTCGGTCTCTTCTCCCAAGTAACACGCGATAGGACAAGAGGAAATGGCCTCACGTTTCACCAGGGGAGGTTTAGGTTGGATATTAGGAAAAATATCTTCACTGAAAGGGTTGTCAAACATTGGAACTGGTTGCCCAGGGAAGTGGTTCGGTCACCATCCTTGGAGGTAATTTAGAAGACCTGTAGATAGAATCATAGAATCGTTAGGGCTGGAAGGGACCTTCAAAGGTCATCTAGTCCAACCCCCCTGCAAGGAACAGGGATATCTCCAACTAGATCAGGTTGCTCAGGGCCTCGTCCAACCTGGCCTTGAACGTCTCCAGGGATGGAGCATCCACCACCTCTCTGGGCAACCTGTTCCAGTGTTCTACAACTCTCATGGTAAAAACTTTTTTCCTAATATCCAACCTGAATCTACCTCCCTCTATTTTAAAACCATTACCCCTTGTCCTATCACAACTGGCCCTCCTGAATAGCCTCTCCCCATCTTTCCTGTAGGCCCCCTTGAGGTACTGGAAGACCGCTATAAGGTCACCCCGGAGCCTCCTCTTCTCCAGGCTGAACAGCCCCCACTCTTTCAGCCCGTCCTCATAGGAAAGGTGCTCCAGCCCTCTTATCATCTTCGTGGCCCTCCTCTGTACCCTCTCCAATGTGGTGCTAACAGACATGGTTTAGTGGTGGACTGGGCAGTGTTGGGTTAACGGTGGGACTTGATGATCTTCAAGGTCCTTTCCAACCTAAATAATTCTATGATTCTATAAATCATTGCCTGCTGTCAACCAAAGACTGCAAGTACTGCACCATATGCATTAACAGACTCAGTTCTGAGATCTCCCAGCAGATGTCCTCACAAGGCAGTTAAGTTGGGGAGGTTAGAGACGTCATCGCTTAAAAAAGACTGCAATGGGAAGGAAAACAGACTTATAATAAGGGTGATATAAATATCTAGACAGACAAATTAAAAGTATTTAATTTATTCTCAAGTGCCAAACTTAAAACCATAAAAAACGTGTTCGAAAATAAGGCTGTGATCTTCAAACCTTAAAAAACCCCAAACCCTAAAAAAAGCACATCTGTTTTAAGTAGCACATCTGTTTTGATTTTGTTAGGCAATTCTTCTCTCTCAGTTATAAAAAGACCAGAAGGCTAAAAAAATGATGGTGAAAAGCATGAGCACAATTTTCACATGGAAAACAGCATAAAGAGTCTATTCCTGTCCTCCCTTTCATTTCATGTTAAAATTGACAGTGATTTTATCACCTGCACAGAGCTGATGTGCAGCTTTTTTCACTACTCCCTAGTGGCAACGACATTCAAACGTTGTCACGAGGTTGGTATTCTTGGAAGCACGAAATCCGTTGGGTAATTCAGGAAGACTTAAAAAGAACAATTTCCTTAAAATAGCAGTCCTCACCATTACTGCTACAAGTGGGAAGTTTTGATACCACATTAAAAATATTTGACTCGTCCTTTTACGAAGTGAGTAACGCACCCGCAGAACTACTCACAGACACCTCTGAGACAACGATTCAGTCAAGTACTGGTCTACAAACTCAAAGCTGAGATTCTTTACCCAGGCCTAGGAGACCAGTATCTCCAACCCTCAGTCTGTTACCTGCTTTAAAGCAGATGTTCATGGCTTCGTACTGAGAAGCCACACCAGGGAAAGACAAAATGAAGATGATGAGCATCACTGAAGAGTGGACACAGAAGTAAGTGCCAATACTTGGGGCTTCCTGATAGACCCGCCAACTGGGACATGTCAGTCACTACAGTTTGGCTGGTGTCAAAACTCAAAACTGTCCCAGCTTCAGGAAAATGCTGGGAGGGTGGCTCCAATAGCTGGGACAAACCTCTCTGCCAGAGGTTCTTTCGTGGACATGTTACAGCACTACAGACAGAAAGTGTTGCTATGTTCTTCTCCATACTGAGTTGGGTCAAAGCTAGCATCATCAATTATAGAAACAGGTCGCTTCTGAAATCTTAGAGAAGTAGGATATTTGCCAGTATCTTGTCTGAAGCTTCCAGAGCATGGGTGATTGATTTTCTGCAGGCTGACTGTCTTCAATTTCCACAATGAAAGTAAAAACAAAAAGATTTTTAGCTTGATGTCAGTGAATGACCAAGGTGAACAACACAAACTGTTACATTTCTTAACTAGTGAATGCTTTCATGCCATAGAAGCATCAGATAAAGCACATTCTGCACTTAGCTCGTCCTGAAAAAAGAATAATTCATGTTCCACATCCTTAACAACCTTAACAACAGAACAACCCTCTGAAATCCAGATTTCAATTTAAAATATTAAAGCACAAATACAAATGAAGGATGGTGGCTGGGCGCAGCTACAGTCTACTGTTACCCATTTAAGATTACTTCACTGTCTGTCTTGAATCTTAAGCCCCCGACTCTTCAGCCATATGATAAGGTATGTAGAATTACAGCCCAAGCAGAGGCTAATCCTACTGTTTCCAAATAAGAACTTCTCATGGGAACAAATACACATCTCAAAAAAAGCCATAAAAGATGCTGAAGCAATCCTAACTGTAACCACCTCTTCCTCCATCGCTCTGGTTTCATTATGTAAACATCTTCCAGTCAAATCTTTACAAACTATGTCAACAAATCATCATTTCCCCCTCTTTCCCCAGGAAAACCGTGCAAGGATAACTGTACACATGTCCAAGAGGATGTCATTTTATTGGAGGTCCACAGGTCATTGTATCACATTAGGGAGTGGAAGAATCTCGTGGTATGGCACAACACAATACCTCACTCTAAACACTTAAACAGAAGGTTAAATGATATGCAACATGATCAAATCAGTAATTCTCCATCTTCTAGGCACCACTGATTAATTTAAAATAAACTTTAATAAATTGAAAAAATAATATAGTCCATAAATTTGTGTGTTGCACTGTCTTTAAATGAAACAGCACTTTGAAAGTCACAAATAAAAAAGCAGCACTTTCTCTTAATACCAACACCACTGTAACACATACTGTAGCGTGGCATGCAAATCCATATCTGCAGTCTTTTTTTTTTTTTTTTGTATTAACAAACGGAATGGTAATTTTCTATCTCAAATATTAGTAGCATAACACGTAAGTGCAGATCATTCTGGCCACAAGTGTGGTAAGCCTTAGCAAGTGTGTATTACAAGAGCATAGAACACAGAGCATGACACTTACATCCAAGAACCTCTCTCTTTTGCACTGTACATGGTGTTTGTTACAGGCTGCCTTCCAACTTGCTGGACTCAAGCTTCAGGAAACTAGATTATGGACCATTTCTGGTTTTGCTTAGAAATAAAACGCAGTCACCATCAAAGCACAACCATTAACAACCTGGTCAAAAAAAACCATGCCGTAGCTCCATCGAAAAAATAGCTTGTCTGTTTAGTAGACTCCATTACGCGATAAAGTTTCCATTATAGGCATGTTACGAAGTCTTACAGTGGTACTGCAGCGTCATTCCTGTTGAGTAGAGATGTGTGTAGACACCGAGAAAGGGTGCAATGTTCCAAAAAGCTGTTCAAACCGAGCTAAGCTTCACAAGACCACGCACTGAGTCTTCATGCAATGAATCCTGGCTGGCTAGACTCAGGACGTGCATTGTATGGCTGTGTGTAATAGGACTTCCGCTCGGCAGCATCCCAGGGGGTGATGGAGCTTCTTCAGGAGTGAGAAACTGATGACCTTCGTGTTCCTCTTTTAACGGTATCATGTCTGTCAAACCTGTATCTGATGTGAGATTTGGCATAGAAGATGGTGGTGTCGGTTGCCCTAGGGTTAGACTTGCACAAGGCCCACTGATAGTAGTCTTTCCTGGTAAAGGTAGCTCTTCACTAGTTATGCTTGGCTCACTCTGTAGTAGGGGGGTGGCAGCAGCCTGCAAAACGAATTTAGTGCTCTGAATGCACTGATCTTGGTCACACTGCAAAATGGAAGGGTGTCAAAATCATATCAGGCAAACAAAATAGAGGAAAAAAAAAAAAAAGGGAGAATATGGACAAAAAGATATGGAAAAGAATGGGATGTGAAGAGAAAAAAGAAAATCATTAGTGTCATTCCATGGTTAGCCACCCAAAAATCCCATTGCATGCTGCCCGGGGGGGAGGAAAAAAAAAAAAAAAGCATGCATGACTGGGCCAGTGCTTCGGATTACCATCAAAGTAAATATGATTTTCAGCGTCACTTAAGGGCTTTGGTAACCTCTAAAATAGTCTTTTGTGAGTCCTGTAACTCCAACGCTTTGCTTATTCTTGCCCAAAGCCATTTGGAAAGCCGAGCTGCACGCTGCGTGTGCAACTAACTGCACCGGCACCCCAAAACCTCCCCGATTCCAGGTGAGGTGGATCGCTTCCACACTACTCGTTTTACCCGAGAGTAGCCAAAAAAGTCCAGAGAGAGGCCCAAAGGCATGATCCACGCACCCTTCCAAGTTCAAAACCACTAGGCAAGCGTCTGTCTTAAATTGGTTTTCGCGCGTTGAAATTAAGGGGCTAAAGAATTTTTCCAGAAGAAGAATTCCATCACCTTCAGGTGGTTTTGTAAACATCTAGCTGGAAATACAGCCTCTACGAGCAAAAATTCCCCCCCTGCCACTTGATTACATTATAGATACACTCTAGAGAACATACTACACTGTTCTCAATACTCTACAGGATGTGCAGAAATCAGGCAGCGCTGCAGATGCATTAACTTGGTATCAACTTCCATGAAGTTGTGGCTGCCCCATCCCTGGCAGTGTTCAAGGCCAGGTTGGATGAGGCTTTGGGCAACCTGGTGTAGTGGAGGGTGTCCCTGCCCATGGCAGGGGGGTTGGAACTGGATGATCTTTGAGGTCCCTTCCAACCTGAACCATTCTATGATTCTATGATTTTTAGGCTGTTTCTTGATTAATTCGATCTCGACAATGTGAAGAATCAAGGTACAAACCACAAATTTTCTGGCAAGCGCTTTCAAAACAACAAGCCCAAGTCAGCATTATATAAACCCAATCGGGCTCAGTGAGTACTACCAGGAACGCTTTCGGCTCTACATCATTCCTAGGAACTCTTTATACAAAATTTACATTCATTCCTTGAGATGACAAGGCAGGTAAGTGTTTCAATAACGTCCAGCTAGCTAAGTGGGTAGTAGGCTACTGCCAAATTAAGTTTCTTTAACACAAACTGGCATGATTTTTGAGTTTCCGAGGACAATATTTAATTCAGCACCTGATCAGTTACAACATCTGCAGATTTTCAAAATCCTGTTAGATACATTTGCTGTTCTGCTGTGCAAGAGAAACACTACAGTCAATGAATAGAACTATAACTCCCATATAGCAAAGAAAACTTGGGAGCAAGCAAAGAGAGTAAAAAAATATATCCATATATCACTGTTCTTATTTCAGAGTTTCTGTGAAAACAGTTTCTGTTTCACCACTTACTTCTTTGATCTATATCAAATTACTGAAAGCCATTACAAATCCAACATCTGTTCAAGATATTCTTAATCATACCCGTTGCTGCTAACATCACAGCAATTCCCTAAAACGCCCATTTGAGTTTAACAAGCCTCCATAATAAACTCCATACGAACTCATGGAAAGACTTCTGCTTCCTTTACTGTGTAATGAAAACCACAACTATGAATGCTTCCTCTGATATTTTCAGGTTCCCCCAGTCCACCAGTGAATAGCTTAATGGTGGATGCACACACACTACACTCCAAGCGTGCGAGCTGACTACTTGGTCACAGCGGACGGGCAGTATTTTACATGCGTCTAAGTGGTTTAGGAATCCCAGACCAACTCCTTTGTGACAGGCAGAAGTCCAGTCCTTACTCAGATACGTATTTTCCAAGACTTATGCTTTCAGAAAGATAAATGCACTCACCTCCTGTTACATAAATTGAGTACATATATATCGCAGGCAATTCCCCCCCCAAAATGATGAACAGCCCCAGCCAAACAACTGAAGTGGTTCCATACAATTTCAGAGGGATTACTCACAGCTTAAAGTCAAAACCTTGCACAAGCATTTACCTTTCAGTTAGTAATTCAGTGTGAATAACTCATTTTTGATCAATATACTGTTATTCACGCCAGCTTATTTCAATTAAACTATAACCCTTCAACCAACCTTACTGTGCAGACCTTAAAGATCTGTTAACTGAATTTTCAAACTCCAAAAAGACCAACAGAATCCATCTTCTCTGAAAAGCAGTAGTCAAAAAGCACGTTAAATAACAAAGGAATGCCTATAACCACTGGGGTACATTGAAAACAAATAATGTTAGCAGCTGATTCACTGCTTTAGTGAAGCTTCAGCACCAATCTTCAAAAGGAAATCATTAATATGTTCCAGGCAATACAAGTATACAGTTTTAAATTAGCTGAAAGTAATTTACTAGAACTCATTGTATAGTCTGAATTAATTTTCTTCTTACCCAACTCTAGTGCATTTCAGCTGAATCAGTATCGGAAAGATAAATGAGCCTCATAAAGCTCCACGAAACAGAGTGTTATAAAACTTTTTAATGTGCTGTATATCTCTTCTTCATCTTCCATGCACTTGTCACTTCCCTGAAGCCTCTCCTCTTACTCAGATACATTTCAGATTTTCATTTTTTGGTTCTATTTAACAGTGATCAATGTGAAATTTCTCACGAAACAGCTTTCTGAAGTGGCCAGGGTGGGGTTTTTACTAGAAAAGGCGGATGTGTTCCATGAAGCTCTCAAAAACAACTGATAAAAACAACACGTACTATACAGGTAGACTATTCTTGAGCCTAAAGAGCCAATACAAAACTGAATAAGGAAATCAGATTTGTTTATAGTGTTGGCATGGTGGTTTTTCCTTGATTCTGTATTTCATAGATTTCATAGATTTCTAGGTTGGAAAAGACCTCAGAGATCATCCAGTCCAACCGTCCCTAATCCCCATTAAACCATATCCCTAAGTAGATCATCCACCCTATTCTTAAACACATCCAGGGATGGGGACTCAACCACCTCCCTGGGCAGCCTATTCCAGTGGCTGACAACCCTTTCAGAGAAGAAATACTTCCTAACATCCAACCTGAATCTGCCCTGACTAAGCTTATACCCATTTCCTCTTGTTCTATCACCCAACACTAATGTAAATTTCACTCTTAACTAAATGAAATTTAGGGCCAAAAGTCTTAATAGCTATTAATCACATGAATTATTCAATGCCAGCATTTCAAATAGAATAATAATAATAAAAAAAAGCCTATGATTGTAACGAAAAGGAAGCCAGGCACTGAAATATAAATTGCTAAAAATCTACTGTAGAAATTATTACACCAGTACCTTCTTACATCAGATCTACTGATTTTATTTTCCACTTACAATTTCCACTGTTTCAGAGGAACAGCAGATTCTGAAGGTAAAACAACTTTAACAAGTTCTACGAGTACAGAAGTTCAATTATATAAATGCATAGAATTTTTTAGCCATCTCTGTATTTGCTTTCACATCAAAAGGCATAAATAAAAGCAAACTAGACAAAACCTAAAATTCCGCATTTATTTCACAAATAATAAATACAAACAACTAAGGAAACAATATTTTTGATTTTTTTTCTTCTGAGGAAAATCTGTTTTTTTTCTAGTCTACGCAAAACATACATGTTAACATAGCTGTTGTACACGGCAATATATTTCTCACATTTCTAATGCCAAAGCCAGAGATTACTTTGAATTTAAAATTAACTTTGTTAAAATTTTTCTAAACGCTGGCAACATGAAAGAATTGTTACAGTTCTCAGAAGATGGCAAAAAGAAGGTTGAATTAGCTCAGCATCTCTGAGTAAAGTACAAACAAGAACAAGTTTGGAGGAGACTGATAGCACTGAATGACAGCCCTATGAAGAAACAGAAAGGATGCTGGAATGCCATACTAGAGGGATGGAATAGATGGGTAAAGATAGAGGGATGGAGCTGTATAACTGCTCCCAACAGCTGGAGGATTTCACACTCAAAATCACGTTACTGCAGGTACTGAGCCACAAACCCCACCCAGTCAATGCCTCCAGTACCTGTAGTGCAGTGCACCAGGAGATGGACGAGAAGAAACGCTTCTGAAGCTGAAAGATAAACTATGCCTGTTCCAGTGATTTTACTTCACACTAGCAACTGTTTATTCCTACAGCCTGAATGTCCATGAGTGGTTAGAGCATGTTGGGGGCATCCTGGGAGCACATCTTCTGGGAGGAATCTGGTTCATGTGCTCTCTACTGCTCTGCAATGTCAACGAAAACGCAGCGGATCTGCGCAATCGGAAGAATTGCTTCTAAAACACACCTCAGTCCCAAGCAAAACGCTGCAGGTGATTTACTGCATGTGTCCTTAACTCATTTGAACTGGGAAGTAAAACGCTTGAATGAAAATCCTCTGTCATAGAATCCTCTGTCAACCTTGTCTGCAGAAACGTTGACTCGAGAAGAGCCTCAAGTTCCACTTGGGCAACGATAAATCGTATTTTGACGTACGACAGTTGATAGACAAGGAAACACACTCGTACAACTCCCAGCAAACGGGGCTCCTACCCTCGCTGATCTTTGTACTTGCCAGCAGAAATAATTACTCCTAATAACGAGAACATGGAAAGCAAAGGAGAAGGTCTGCTAGGATGGTCAGAGTTCGAGTTCCTTGGATCAGCAGGATTCTCGTTTCCAGGTCAGTGCTAGGAATGCTGATGTGAACGTTCAGGAGAGGACTTTACTGCACGTCTCACTGGTAACGAGCGTTGCACATGCGTTGTTACGGTTCCCATAATTTTCAGTGGTACGAATCAGTAAGAAAATAAACACTAACTAAAGAATTTGCATACAGGAAAGGAAAGGGAGAACTGGAAATACGGGAATTTGGCACACAAGGAACAAGTTAAGCACTGGAAAAGAGGTGAAGTACAATCTATCACTT